TAGCAATGAACTTTATTTCCACTATCATGATTATCATTTTGCAGTTGCTAAAATATGTTGAAAGTAAAGGAATAGTGAAAAGCTTATAATTCTCAAATTCTATATGTAAATAGCACCTCGTAACATTTTTATTAAATGTTGACGAGCAGACAGATACAATACTGCCCTTAGAAAGCTTATATGTTGGCGGTGCTTATATTTTGTTTCTCTGCTGCTCTTCCCTCTTCCTACCCTCCCTGTTAATTAATAATTCATCTGATTTGCATGCAGGGTGTCACTGTTCTCATTTTAGTTGAAAATCAGGACCTCACTAATGTAGAAAACTACCATCAGACTAGAAATGAGAGTCCAGATTAATAAACAAACATTGGTGTGTGTGGAGGAGAGAGAGAGAGAGAGAGAGAGAGAGAGAGAGAGAGAAGAGAATTAAATGGACTTTTCCTATAAATTCCAGAATCATAGGCCCTTAGGCACCAAAGGTGCTAGGAGGATATATAGTCAGTGATTCTCAACTCAGGCTGCATGTTCTCATACCTGGGTAACTTCTGAGGCTCCAACCCCACATTAATTAAACCAGCATCTTGGAGGTGGGCCTGGGCATGGGCAGTTTTTAAAACCCAGGTATATTCTAAAGTACAGCCAAGGTTTAAAGACTCCTGATTTGGTCCTACCTCTTTTCATATGGATAGACAAACTAAAAACCATTTAGGGAGAAATTATTTCTCTCAGGCCATTGGAAAGCCTGGGTTTTGGTATGGGCATGTTTTTTCAGGTCTTTACAAAAACTGATCATTAAAACATGAATTTCTCTATTCTTTGTACTATGGTGATAATTAGTACAAATCATACACAATTTACATAACACCCACTTATAAACATAGACACACAATTCAACTATCTAATTAGGTAACTAAGTCCTTATTGGAGACTTGTCATAGTTTGAAAAATTGTGTAAATGAATATAGTTGTCTTTATAATTCATAGCATATCTTTGTACTTAATGAGGTTTTTCTTAGTTAAATCTTTATTCCCAACTACTTTAAACTGTATTTTATTTTATTTTGATTAATAAGAGTTGAAGGTAGGAGCTATCCCTTCAACATTCTATCCACAGTAGAATGTTTGGCTCACCAAGGATGCTTAAGGCATGATGATGATCACTACATACAAAATTTTGCGTGAGTGCGAAAGAGAAAAATGTTTCTAGCTTTTATCTACTATCGTTTTCATTTATTTCTGGCACTGGCAAGACAGAAGATTTGCATTACTTCTGAGCACGGGCATGATGCATTTAGATACACTTTCCATCTCTCCACAAGATAAAATATATGCCACATAACAATCGGTACTGCAATTTTATGCTGAATTGAAATATTTTAAACTTTGATGGGTCCAACAGACATACACATACAGAAAAGATAGATGTCAAAGAATGGGAAATGTTTAACTTTTTCTATCTTCCACACTGTTAACAATGGGCCCATGTTATCAATGCTGTTTTCTCAGAATGTTTCTCAGGAAATGAGTTACACATACTTTATATGATGACTTTAATAATAGGTCTACCTATGCTAAAATGATATGAGATATTTTCTTGATTCATATAAAATGACAAGTTATAAATATGTTTCAAAAACTCTTCACAACAATCAAACACTAACTTATTTTTGGTGAAAGGCAAGGTCAACTATCCTGAGAACTGTAGGAAATTCATACATTAATTTATACTACTGCATAGCATCATGTTTACTGTTTCTCAATCTATATGACATAAAAATTTATGAAGCATGATTCCTTCTGTTAATGTTATCAAGGGAAAGTTCAAAGAGTCCAAACTAAACAAAAGATATTAGTACTGGACTGTTATGAAAATTGCTCCAAACTGGGGCTAGGTAAAGTGGCATCTAACCCATAGGTTGATACTCAACCACTGAGCCATGCTGGCTAGGCCATACTCTTAACTTTAAAAATCCATTTTTAAATAAATACAAAAGGTTTGAACTGTATTTACAGAACATGAGTCAATTTTATTAAAAAGAGGCAAACACAATCTTGTCAATAGATTCAAATATTAACAAACAAAATGGAAAAAATTGGCAAGTAAAATAGACACCTGAAAATCATTTTTCCCCTTATAACAGAAAAGAAGCATGAATAGAGACACAGCATAATAATCTGGCCTTCCACCATGCAGTCAAGCTCATTTTTTACTTATATTAAGGGGAACAAAGTAAACAGTCTACTTCAGGCTATTCCTTGGAGCTTAAGTACTGGGGGACAAAAGAAATAAGGACTATACCCTGGTGGGATTTCTTATTTTGCTTGAAAAGCAGTTGAAGATTAAATCACAAATCACTAGTTGTCTAAAATACCGTTTAAAACTCTAATTATAAAATAGCTTACTCTCTGATTTTTAACACAACTATTAATGGTCATTCTTGAAATGCATTTCCTGGAGTGGGGTTCCTTTTTTTCATTTCTTTCCTTTCCTTTTCTTTATCTTTTTAAATTTTAGAAACTTCCTAACAGATTAAATACCCTGAGAAAACTAAGACACATTTATAATGGAACAACAGGTCTATAGAAACCCAAATTCAATGATCTCGTCTATAAATATGCCTTAGGCAAACTTCAACTACTTTTTAAGTAAAAGGTTAAACCTGCTCAAGATGTTTATTTAGGCACAAAATCTGTATTGTCTACTCTTACATTTCCTGGCCTCTCTTCCTTCTAGATTCCTTCAATCATAATTCTCCCATTCTCCAACTTGGGAAACATCTGGCTACAGTAACGCAGTCCGAAGCGGCCGTGAAATGTATGCCTGTGTCCTCCAGGATTGCCCCGTGCTCTCACAGTCCCACTGCTTCATTGCTTTTAGGCTCCCAGCGTATGTTCTTATTTTAGGCTACGCTAAGAAATATTTCTTTTATTTTGGGTAACGTCAGTATATAGCATAGGCTAAAATTCCATGCCTACCTTTGACTTTCTGAAGTTCTTCTTGCCCTTTTCAGGTAACTATCCAATAACTAGGGATTAGTTTGTACTTGAGGTAACTATTTTTCAAAATAATCAGTTTCTACTCAAGAAAATGTCAACTGTTAATGATTTAAAGTATTGAATTTTTGCTTATATGTTTCAAAGAGAAAAGATTTCTAAAGAGAAATATAAAATATTTGCAAATGACAGTAAAAAAACAAACACTGTTTGTTTGTCCTCATAACTCAAGGCCTATCTGAAAATTCTTCATGGCATGCAGAACAGCTCCTGTATAACTAAGTGCAAATTCTATAGAATTGTGATCATAAACAAGTTTCCTATTTTTAACTTTCATTTTTTGACAGCATAATAATATATTTCCCCTTGTTTATTTAACCTTATAGGTAAGTGATAACTTACTCTATTGTGAGAGAGAATGAACTTCCGCCTTCAAAAACAAGCCAAAGTAGAAATTTCAGTATCAGTACAATTGAGTGCCTTTTGGACCCCTACTACATTCATAGCATCCTGCTACAGGGTACAAAGAAATATGATATTTCTTTGCCTTCGGTGGACTTATAAGTAATTCAGAAAATAAAGTATACAGGAAAAATAAAAATACCAAATGGTTTATGTTCAGGAGTTGTTAAACCAGGAGGTTGAACCAGGAGGTCACAGTTCCATTCTGGTTAGGGCACAGGCCCGGATTGCAGGCTCGATCCCCAGTGTGGGGCATGCAGGAAGCAGCTGATCAATGATTCTCTCTCATCATTGATGTTTCTATTTCTTTCCATCTCCCTTTCTCTCTGAAATCAATAGAAATATATTTTAAATGAAGGTATTTAAAAAGAGAAATAGTTGGGGGGGGGAAAGGGGTAAGTGGGGGACATCTGTAATACTCTCAATAATAAAATATGTTTTTAAAAAGAGAGAGAAATGGTCACTTTATTCTAGGGAAATGAGCCTGGAAAAGTAGGTAGGGGATAGGGCCCAATCATGACAAAAAGGTAGACTTAAGAACAAAGAGAAGTAGAAATGAATGAAATAGGAGATACACAATAAAAATAAATAAATAAATTACAAAGATTTTTTTTGGTTGCCGGTTACAGAAATACCAACCCAAACAGGACTACTCATGTAACCCCATTCTGGTCCATAAACTATAAGAAGAAAGGAACACTGGGAGAGTGGACATTTGATTTCCTTTTCTTTTTTGTGAGACATATCAAAAAAGAAGAAAGTTGAGAATATTTTTTAGGCAGCCAAGCAGTAGGGTCTTCCATAAAAACCTGTTGTTTCACAGTGTACTCTGTGCTTGCATGTGTATGACACTTGCTGTTTTGTGTTTGAATTTGTATTTATCTGTATGTGTTGCTTCTTCTACCACTTAGGAGAATATTTGCATGACTGATCACCAATTTTAAAAATAGGTATTTTATTCTTTTTTTCCATTAGCCAAGTCTGCTTAACTTCTTCAGCAAAGATGCTAGAATTTCGGTTTCTCTGAGTAAGCAACATATTGACTAGAAAGGATATTATCTTCATTTGTGTCTAATTACCTTGGCAAGCATTACCCATGTGAAAGAAAATATAGCAAAAGTAGCTGATGATTCCATGGGGATTTAGGAAAGGTATTATGTTTTATCTTTTTATGGGGTATGATAGTCTCCTGTAAGAATATATTTCCAAGAGATCTCATCAACCTTGACTTAGGAATTCAGCACCAAAATGTAGCACCTGCATATCAAAAAGAAAATTAGTAATTACATCGCTGGATGCAATGTTTGGGAAAAAATAGTCAATTAAAGCAATATGAATTCAACCTGAATCTTCTGCAGGCAGCAGCATCGTGTAATTCTGACTTCACAATGACATGAAATTTTAAATGACAACTGCTAAATCAGGCAGCAGCAAGCCCAGGCCAAGTTTAAATTTAGTAACACTGCTCGTTTACTGAAAATAACCTCTACAACAGAGACTCTGAATTTCAGGTAACCAACTACTTGTTTTTCTGTTCTGTTCAGAGATAACCAGGTGCCCAGAGGCCTCAGCATTGTCTTCCCTTCTCAATGGCATTTCTGGTGTCCACCTAAGGAGTCTCCTTCCCCAGCCTTGAAACATTCGGAAATTACACAGAGGACCCACTTCCTATCTTCTTCTTGAAAATTCCCACCATACATGTTCAGAACTTTCTGAATAAGCATAGGATTTTAAGGTAAGTGATGTTTGGAAGTGACTCACATTCTTATGTAACGCTTAGTTACATCAAAAGTGATATTTAATATATGTTAATAAAATACACAAAAGTGAAAGTTATGAACTATAAGAAAATAGTTCCACGTTCCACAACAAAAGAGGGAAATAAAATACAAAGTTTAAAAGTTGTTATATGTCATGTCCATGTATATACAAGCAAGGCACAGTGGTGATCTCGGTATCTGATCATTGGTTTTGAACAAAGTAGTTATAAGATACTATTTTGGTCCTCAAATTTAAATGTGCATAAGAGTCACATGGGGGTAGGGGGAGGCCCTTAACATGCTGACTCCTGGGCACATTTCACAGAGAGATTCACCAGGTCTGGGAGGTAGCCCAGCAATCTGCATTTTTACAGTTACCCACCCCCACGTGATCCTGATGAGGGTGGGTCTGGAGCTTGTGAGAAACAATGAGTTATATTAAATGGGGTTTTATGTTGTTTCTTTCAGTCACAAGAATAAACAAGAAAGGAGTGCTTTTAGCACAGAGGGGCTAAATGAGTGCTTCCTTTATGACCCCTTCAAATTGAATTCTTCCTTTTAAAGGTTCACTACAATGAGCTCATTCCCAGGTGTCCCCATTTCTCTCTCAGAGTGACAGTCCTGCCACTGCTCTCTTCTTGTTTCTCTGTTCTCTGTAATGTTGTGATTTATGCAGATGTTTATGGCTATTGATCAAATTCCAAGAAATAACTACATGTTGAAAATAATGAGTTCTTGCCAGGGTTGGCTAAGCATTTCTACATTTTTGAGGGGTTTTTTCCTCTGCATATTGAAAACTCAGCCATAGATTTTAAAGAACAGATCTGCTTAATACATAGTTAGCTACTCTTCCTTTGCAGATAAAAACTTATAAATCAGGTGGTATATTTATAACAGGCTATAGGAACATTTATTGAGTATCACACATTTGTATTTCTATATCTCATTTAGCACCTCTGTTTTTATTATTTTCAAATTTAAGTTTATAAAATGTTTGCTTTTTAATTCCAGTTGAAGAAGTGGTTAGTAGGGACATATTCAGATCTTAAATTGTGATGATTCCTTACAACTACAATATGATATTATTTTTATAGTAAAAAGTAAAGTTTTTAATTAAACTCCTTTGATTGAATATCTGGCTTATAGACATTTTCTTCTCTCCTTATCAGTCTTGTTCATACTGTGTAGAATTTTTTGTTCATAAAATATCAAAAGGTAAAAGTAAACCCTTAATAAAAAAAAGTATATTCTTATAGTGCCAGTTAGCTACACATATTAGCTATTCAACAATTTAAAATAAATTTATATAGTCATATGCATAAAATAAGAGAGAGCTTTTTCAAGTAATCAAAATTAGAGATTTACATAATTGGGTCAACTATAATAATAAATTTTCACATATATTTGTTGTCAGAATTGTTCTTAATCATAAGATTGCCATACCTGATAATAAACCCTAAAATATGTACTACACAATATCATAAAATCCTCAAGTATGTAGTACACAAGTGTGCGATTCAATTAAGTTTCCAAATTAGACTTAAATTAGTACAAATCTGTATTATTTCAATTTCAGGAAAAACAGAAGCTTCTGTTCTGTTCTTTCTTTTTCGCTTTTGCTTTTTTTAGTAATCAGTAGATCATCTTCCATGTCATTAATTAAGAAAGGAAAACAGAAAATGTAGGTGTATTTCAGGCTGGGCCAGCTTTTTCTGGAAACCTGATATTGAGGGGGAAATAGGGTTAAAAGTAAGATGCAGCTTCTGAACAGTAGAGCCATCTGGGACCATTCAGTAGGGAGAAAAGAGATTTAAATATGTAAGAACCTCTAGGGAGTATTAGTGTTATTATGAAACTATAATAATGACATTTGTGAGATAGCCTAAAAGATTAAAATGTGTTTATTATTCTCAATTTAAGAAGCTGGGAAGTAATTAAAATTTATGTACAAAAAGTATAATTATTGACATGGGAAATGCTCATAATATACTGTATATGAAAACAAGTTATAAAACCATATTTAAAAAGCTACAGAAGCACAGGAAGAAAAATTGAAGGAATAAACACCAAATTATTATTAATGGTTATGCTCCATTGATGAAACTATGGTTGATTTTTATTAGTGTTCAGGGTTTATAAAACTTTTTCTAAAGTATGTATGTATGATTATTATTTTGTTAATCCTCACTTTGGAGGATATTTTTTCCATTGATTTTAGAGAGAGTGGAAGGGAGGGGGGAGGGGAGAGAAGAGAGAGGGAGAAACATCAATGTGAGAGAGCCACATCAATTGGTTTCCTCCCCAATGTGCCCCAACCATGGCAGGGAACTTGCAACTCAGGTACATGTCTTTGACCAAAATTGTACCTGAGACCCTTTGGGTCTAGAGTCAGTGCTCTAACCACTTAGCACACCATCCAGGGTTAAAGTGTGTATTATTAATGTAATTTCAACATATTTTTAAGGGATTGGAAAATATTCAATTATCTGGTTAATTCACTTCTATAGAACTATTAGGTAGTTTCACTAACAGTTATTTAAAATAGCCTTAAAGCATACTTTTCATCTTAAAGTATTAAACTGATTTGAATATGAGAGTGATAGCTATTATTAGATCAAACTGGTTTTTAGATGTAATTCTTCATTTGTGGGATATTGCAACAGAATAAATTTCTCAAGTTTTGCACTTTATTAAGCACTGGTAATTTCAAATTATTAATTTCAAATGATTAATTTCTTAGAAATAGTCTTCATTTCTTGCATCAGATAATACCAATATGCTTTCAAGAGTTTTCTAACTATAACAGTTTGCTCCATTTGGAGGATGATTTTGTATGTTTGGTTACATTAGTGTTAATATGTCTTTGTTCTTTAAATCTCCAGTGCACATACGGTTAGTCTCACCATTATTACTACCAGCTGCAGTTGGCCTATGAATTTGTTCATTCTGTCTGAATCCAAAGTAATTAGCTCTTTAGTTTAATGACAATATTTGTTAATGGGTTTTTAGGGCCAAATTCTGTTGTTAGAGAGTGGGTGGTGCATTTGAAGACAGAATCTGGCCCTTATGTTTTAAGCATAAGCTGTGTAATTTGATTTCAAAATGATGGTTTAGGGAGTTTGGAGTAGGAAAACTAACTCTACATTTATTTGAAGTTTCCCAGTTTCAAGAAACAGAAAATGAAAGTGACAATATATGTAACTGAACAACAAAACCACTGAAAGTTCTCTGATACAGCTATCCTGCATGTGTCATTCCCTACATGTTTGGAATAAGAAATGAAATGATAATTTTCAAGCAGACATTAGATGAATTATCCTATGTGACAGGGAATAAACATTTGATCATTACATTTTTTCCACTGTTAGTGAGATATAATGGACATATAACTTTGTGAATGTTTAAAGTATACAATGTAATGATTTGATACACATATATACGTACAACAAAATTGTTATCTCAATAAGGCTAGTTAATACATCAATCACCTCATATAATTAAGAGAGTAGATCTTCAATGTTCTCAACACACACACATACACACACACACACACACACACACACGAGTGATCATTATATTTTTAAAGGACTCAGTGAAGTGGAAAGGATTCCTGCCTGGGAATCACTGGGGTTCAAGTTCAGACTCAGCTTCCTGTTAGTGGCATAACCTTGGGGAAATCTCTTGACCTCTCCCTGGGCCTCAGTGTCTTCATCCTAAAATGAGGACTTTGCACCTGATGCTGACAGTGGGCCTTTCTAGCTCTGACATAACTCTAACTTGTTTTAAAACAGTACTCTGAGGAAGGCATAAGGAAAATGCAATGACATGAGCTAACTAAATAAACAAATCATTAAGTTCACTAAAAACTACTTTGGAGATATTTTGACCTTAAGAACTTTCCATCAATGACTTGTTTCTTTTATCCTGGAGAAGAGAATGATTTAGAGAGTTTTAAGTTTTCAAGGAGACCAATTTTGGCAAAACTTAAAAAAAAAAGAAAGAAAAGTCACGTAGTAAAAGTTGAGATATGCGACAGTGAATTCAGAGATCGTGAATTCACCATCAATATAGGAAAGAAAGTGGGTACCATGGATTATATGGGCAGCCAAACTTCCTTTCAAGGTATAAAAGCTCGAGGCAAATGTTCTGAACATAGAGGAACTCAGGAAATGATGCGATCATGAGCCCTTCTTGAGGCAACTATTAGGGGACAAAAGCCATCAAACAAAGAGGTGACTGTAGAAATCACTACAAAAGGACTAACTGTGAGCATTGGATGTATTTAACTCTAAACAAAATCTAAAATAAAATGCAGATCAGGGTAACAGAATAGAGCATAAAAGTATAATATCCGGGAGCACTAAAGCAGCTAACACAAAGTTGGATACAAAAGAAAGAAGTTGATGCATATACTAAATTAGCTGATTGCTTTATTCGCAATATCTCGGAATACTGGATGTCATTTAAACCAACTAAATCAAGTCATAAAAGTATAAGCATATCTAAGAGTAGAAAACAAAGATACTAAGAAAGGTCACGTTACTGCCTAACATTAGGTGGCAACGAATGGGGGGAGAAAGAGGAAAATGTACGCTTATTTTTCTATCACATATAATAAGGAAATATTACATAATCTAAAGATGTAAAAGTTCAAGGTTATTATATAAAGTTACCAACTTCATATATGGGTTATTATATGAACTTACAATTTATAAATTAGAACCAAATTCTAAGCTGAATGCAGCCAAAACAAAGTTATTCGAAAACTTGAAAATGAAAGTGTAGTCAAAGGGGTACTAGGAAAATGCAACCTAAAGAAATAAGGATTTATAGTAGTCCTCCCTTATCTGCAGGTGATATGTTGCAAAACACCCAGTAGATGCCCGAAGCCACAGATAGTTGCTGGAAGCCAATTCCAGGATGTAATAATTTCAAGAGTTTCATCAAAAGGTTGATGGAACTTGGGGATTCAACA